CGCTGATACCTAGGCCAAGTTGGCTCCTCTTACCTTAATTACTGCTGCTGGCTGGCAGTCTGTGGGCTTTCTGGCTGCGGCTTGCAGGCTGTGGGCTTGCTGGCTACTGCCAGGCGGCTGTGGGCTTGCTGACTGCGGCTGGCAGCCTGCGGCTTGCTGCCTGCGGCTGGCAGGCTGTGGCTTGATGGCTGCGACTGGCAGGCTGTGGGCTTGCTGGCTGTAAGCCTGTGGGCTGGCTACTGGCCTGTGGGCTGGCTAACAGGTGGCTTGTTGACTGGCTGGCTACTGGCCAGCCTGTGGGTTGGCTGGCTACTGGGGCACTTGTAGATTATTTAAAGAAATAATCCATGCACAATTACCACTACTGCTCCAGAGTAAGTAGTCAAACCGTTTAAGAACAGTTTGACAACTTACCTGGGGTCTGCTGGGATATGGGGCTGTAGTAGGGAATAGGAGCAGTGGTGCAATGTTTGTGAAAGGTTCAGTGTGTGAATGTGTAGGGTGTGTGGGGCAATGTGTGTATGAGGGGGCTGTGTATGTGTGTGGAAATGTTAGTATGGGGGGCTGTGTATGGGGGTCTGTGTGTATATGGGTGGGCAGTGTATGTGTGAGGCAATGTGTGTAAATGTGTATGGTGTATGTGGGGGCAGTGTATGTGTATGGGGGCAGTGTGTGAATGTGTATGGTGTGTGTGTGGGGGCAGTGTGTTTATGGGGCTAGAGTTAACTCTCGCAAGAGCGGTAACGTTGCCATGGTAACCGCAGCAACGCTCTGTGCTCGCGCAAGAAGGACCCAGAGGAGCTGCAGGATGAGCTCCCGGGTGCTCTCTTCCTCCCCTGCCGGCTGCCCACACGGTGCTTGCGGACAGTGGAGTGGGGGCCCCGTTGCCCCCCTGGATCCACCAGTGATATACACAGCCCTTCTGTGCCTTTTTGTCTCCCCCAGTCCCTCTGTATGTTTCTTCCTCCCCCCTCCTTCCCAGTCTCTCTTACCCCTCTGCCTCTTTCTCCCCTTGTGTCTCTCTCCTTTCTCCCTCTCTCTCTCTTCCACTGTTTTTCTCCCCCGTTTCCCTGTCTCTCTCTCCCCCACATCTCTCTTCCTCTCTGTCCCCCAACTCTCTACTCTCCCTCTTTCTCCCTGTGTCTCATTCTTTCCTCTCTTACTCTTTCTCCCCCTCCCCATCTCTGATGCTCCCTCTTTCTCCCCCTGTGTCTCATTCTTCCCTCTCTGTCTCTGTCTCCCCTCCCCATCCTCTCTATTCCCCCCCTCTTTCTCCCCTCCCATCTTTATTCCCCTTCTTTCTCCCCTCCATCTCTCTATTCCCCCCCCTCTTTCTCCTCCCATCTCTCTGTTCCCCTCCCATCTCTCTATTCCCCTCTTTCTCCCCCTCCCCAATCTCTCTGTTCCCCTCTGTCTCCCCCCTCCCCATCTCTCTATTCCCCCTCTTTCTCCCCCGTGTCTCATTCTTCCCTCTCTGTCTCTGTCTCCCCCCTCCCCATCACCTGTGTATATATGTCTATATGTAATGTTTATATCTTGTATTTTTTGTAATATTGTATCCTATTGTAACAATGCAGTGTTTAGTGGACCCAGGACATACGTGAAAACAAGAGGAATCTCAATGTATCCTTCCTGGTAAAATATTTAATTAATAAATAAATGTATGAGTATGTGACAATGCCATGCCGTGGACAACCAGCATCAGGAAGCGTATAAAACACTGCATTGATTTTGATCTCATCTGACCAAAACACTTTAACCCAGTTATCCTCTGAATCATTCAGTGAGGAATTATCCCAGAACTGCAGAGGAGGATCTTGTTAATAATCTCAAGGCAGCTGGGACCATAGTCACCAAGAAAACAATTGGTAACACACTATGCCGTAAAGGACTGAAATCCTGTAGCGCCTGCAAGGTCCCCCTGCTCGAGAAAGGACATGTACAGGCCTATCTGAAATTTGCCAATGAACATCTGAATGATAGTGATGTCGCGAACGTGAATTTTTCGGTTCGCGAATGGCGAACGCGAGCTTCCGCAAATGTTCGCGAACCCGACAAACCCGGCGAACCGCCATAGACTTCAATGGGCAGGCGAATTTTAAAACCCACAGGGACTCTTACTGGTTGAAGGGGGGGGAGGAGACCTACTCTCCTCCCCACCTCCGGCCCCCGGCCCCCACCCCTGGGCGGCGGGTGGGGGCCATAAAGATAATGAGGGGGTGACCTACTGTCCCCCCCGGCCCCCACCCCTGAGCGGTGGGTTGGGGACCTAATAACAATAAGGGGGGGACCTATTGTCCCCCCCGCGGCCCTATTAACAATAAGGGGGGGACCTATTGTCCCCCCCGCCCCCCACCCCTGAGCGGTGGGTGGGGGCCCTAATAACAATAATGGGGGACCTATTGTCCCCCCCCGGCCCCCACCCCTGAGCGGTGGGTGGGGGCCCTAAAATGAAAAATAAGGGGGGGACCTATTGTCCCCCATGGCCCCCACCCCTGAGCGGTGGGTGGAGGCCCTAAAATGAAAAATAAGGGGGGGACCTATTGTCCCCCCGCCCCCACCCCTGCGCGGCGGGTGGGGCCATAATGATAATGAGGGGGGGACCTACTGCCCCCCCCCGGCCCCCACCCCTGCGCAGCGGGTGGGGGCCATATTGATAATGAGGGGGGGAACCTACTGCCCCTCCGGCCCCCACCCCTGCGTGGCGGGTGGGGGCCATATAGACTAATGAGGGGGGGGACCTACTGTCCTCCCCCCGGCCCCCACCCCTGGGCGGTGGGTGGGGGCCACAAAGATAATGAGGGGGGGACCTACTGTCCTCCCCCCCCGGCCCCCACCCCTGGGCGGCGGGTGGGGGCCACAAAGATAATGAGGGGGGGACCTACCGTCCTCCCCCCCAGCCCTAAGTAAATTCCCCCCCCAAGCCCCTAGTCACCCACCCACCCCCAAATAAAAAGTCCCTACCTACCCCCCCACCCTAAAAAATAGTGAGGGGGGAATAAAATAACTAACCTGTAAAATAAAAGTAAACTTACCATTCGACATCTTCTTTTTTCTCAAATCTTCATTTTTCAGCCCCAAAAAAGGCCAAATAAAAAACCATCATAACCGTCGAATTGAAAATAAAATAAAAATCCCGAGCGCAAAAAAAAAAAAACGGACGAAAAAGAAAAAAACCAGAGCGCAAAAAAATAATTCATCTTCACCCATGGAGGGCTCCGCGCAGACTGAGCTCTGCAGGGCGGGGGAAGGCTTATAAAGCACCTTCTGTCCATGTTTTGGGGGACAATTGGATTGATGTTTTATCACTCTTTTGCCCCCCCTCCTAGTTTAAATACATCCTAGCAAAACCTTTTGTTCCCTTTTGAGATGCAAACCATCTTTTTTGCACAGGTTATTTCCATTCTAAACAGAGCTACCATGAGAAATCAAGCCAAATCCTTGCTCCCGACACCATTCACCAAGCCACAAATTAAAGTCCCTAATACGCATCCGCCTGTTGTTCTGAGTGTTATGCACAGGCAGAACTTCAGAGAATGACAGTGTGGAAGCAACCTGCCGTATATCACTGGCAAAAACACTAAAAACTTCCTTAACCTCTGAAACCTCATTGCATGCCAAGTCATTTGTCCCTAGATGGACAAGTACATCAAATTCCCCATCCTGCTTTGCTCGCTTAACAATATTACAGATACGTCTCCTGTCTCTGTGAGCAGTAGCTCCAGGAAGACACCTCACAAGACCATCATTGTCCATCTCCACACTTCTTATAATGGAATCCCCCAACAACAACTGCTTTCTATTAGACCTCACCATAGTCTCCAAGCCGGTCTCCACAACACCACTAGCCTCAGTGCCTCTCTCCACAACGCCACTAGCCTCAGTGCCCCTCTCCACAACACCACTAGCCTCAGTGCCCCTCTCCACAACACCACTAGCTTCAGTGCCTCTCTCCACAACACCACTAGACTCAGTGCCTCTCTCCACAACACCACTAGACTCAGTGCCTCTCTCCATAACACCATTACACTCGGAGAGTGCAGAAAATGAATTATGTAGAGCAACAAACTGTGCAATATGCCTTTTATCCACAACTCTAAGTCTACCAGATCCTACAGTAATCCATCTGCCATTCCTAGTAGGTCTCTGCGGCAGTGGCTTTGCAGCAGTTCCAGTCTGAGTTTGTTCACTAGATAATTTACAAATCTCAGACTTCAAAAATACAATCTCCCACAAGATAGAGAACTGTCTACAGATTAGACAACAACCAAACCTCCAAAAAGTGGAACGTGAAACAAATACAACTATTACACTGAACTAAGTCTGCCATTCCAATGAGGAGAATAATGTAAATCAAACGAATTTTAACTTTTTATTTATCCTCCTGAATACCTCAGATTACCTCTAGGTTATCTCCAGAATATCTCCAACCACACACTTAGAAGCAACACTCTCCAGAATATCTCCAACCACACACTTAGAAGCAACACTCTCCAGAATATCTCCAACCACACACTTAGAAGCAACACTCTCCAGAATATCTCCAACCACACACTTAGAAGCAACACTTTGATGAAGCAGCCAAGCTATATTAGCCAAGCTAATGACAACAACCCTTATATAACTCCTAAAATCACCACCCACTAGGAATGTTTAACACCTGGGTAGGCCTCTGCTTATTTACAAACAATAGCTAATTTAAACAGCAATCAATAGCAAGTAGCTAACTAATCAAATCAAATGCCTTATAATTACCAACAGGAATTCAAACCTTGTGCAATCAGTAACCTTTTCCTACAGATGAATCTTACCTGTAACAGTAGAAAAGAAAACTCTTAGCACATCTCTTAGACAGTTAAAGCTTCTGTGAAACTCTCCAGAATATCTCCAACCACACACTTAGAAGCAACACTTAGATGAAGAAACCAATTACTGTGGTTACATCGCAGGTTTAACAATTCAATTTTTTTAAATGCTAAATAGTACATTTGGGGCCTGCACTTCATATTTGAGAGTCAAATAGAACCATCAAATACAGTGGTTACAGCGCCGTTTTAAAAATTCAAATTTTTTAGGTGCTAAATAGTACATTTGGGGCCTGCACTTCATATCTGAGAGTCAAATAGAACCGTCAAATACTGCGGTTACATCGCAGTTTTAAACATTCAAATTTTTTAGGTGCTAAATAGTACATCTGGGTTGTGCACTTCATATCTGAGAGTCAAATGGAACCGTCAAATACTGCTGTGACATAGCAGTTTTAAAAATTCTAATTTTTTTGGTGCCAAATAGTACATTTGCGTCATGCGGTGCACTTCATATCTGAGAGTCAAAAAGAACCGTCAAATACTGCTGTGACATAGAAGTTTAAAAAATTTAAAATCTTTTGGTGCTAAATAGTACATTTGCAGCCTGCAGTGCACTTCATATCTGAGAGTCAAATAGAACCGTCAAATACTGTGGTTACAGCGCAATTTTAAAAATTCACATTTTTTGGGTGCTAAATACTACATTTGGGGCCTGCACTTCATATCTGAAAGTTAAATAGAACCGTCAAATACTGTGGTTAGAGCGTAGTTTTAAAAATTCTAATTTTTTAGGTGCTAAATAGTACATTTGGGGTGTGCACTTCATATCTGAGAGTCAAATAGAACCGTCAAATACTGCTGTGACATAGCAGTTTTAAAAATCCTACTTTTTTGGGTGCCAAATAGTGCATTTGCAGCCTGCGGTGCACTTCATATCTGAGAGTCAAATATAACCGTCAAATACTGTGGTTACAGCGCAGTTTTAAAAATTCACACTTTGTATGTGCTAAATAGTACATTTGGGGTGTCCACTTCATATCTGAGAGTCAAATAGAACCGTCAAATACTGCTGTGACATAGCAGTTTTAAAAATTCCATTTTTTTGGGTGCTAAATAGTACATTTACGTCCTGCCGTGCACTTCATATCTGAGAGTCAAATAGAACCGTCAAATACTGTTGTTACAGCGCAATTTTTAAAATTCATATTTTTTTGGTGCTAAATAGTACATTTGGGGCATGCACTTCATATCTGGTGTATGTATGCAACACTGGCTAGTTACTGCTTCTCAAGAAAGTCTAAAGACTTTTTTAAAACAGTGAAAAATAAGTGTTATTGTGATCGCTTCATATACAGAAGCATTGATATACATTTCTATATTCTGTAAAGACACAACTACAAAGCTAAAAACCAAACACCAAAATAACGTGCCAGACAATGGGCGAGAATTTTTTTTTGCAAATGGAACTTTGATTCGAATTTACTACATCGGTCACTTGTAATATTGTTTCACACCTACAACACTTGTTACACAGATCTAAGTGATAGAAAACAAATTGATATTTTCTACACTAGAAACTACCAGATAACAAGCTGCTATATTTAAACCAGTTATCAATAGCTACGAGGTACTTACACAATATTGTAATTCTGGGGCAATACCCTCACAAGTCAAACTGAGAGGTCAGTTTATAGGGAGAACTGTTGCCTGGATATAATTCTAAAATAATTTCCACATGTCCTTTGCAGACTTTACATGCTGGAAATACACAGGTGCCAACTGCTGTGGCTTTCTGCAGTGTGCAGACCGGCAAGGAGGGCAGGGTTGAAGCGTGGGTGGAAGATGTTGTGGAGGATGATGAGGTCCTAGACCACATGGAATGAAGGTCATGCGAGTGACGTGTGCAGTTTGGAGGAAGAGGTGGTGGTCGCACAGAGGCACCAGCATAGCACAATACTAGGGAGCACAATGCAAAAGTGGAGCAGCCATCCCCTAGCGCTCATCGGCATGAATTAGCTCTAGAATTATCACAGTTATCCAAGTAACAGATGGAGCGATCAAAGGAACCATAACTGATTTAATGAGCCATTCGCAGTTTCACTGTAGCAGCTGTGCGCGCTTTCGGCGTTCTCACCCTGATGCTGCTCGCCTGTTTGCGCTGCAGCGTATCTTCGGCCTTCTCGCTCACCGCCTCATATGCAACGTGCCCACAAGGTGGAACTCCACCTTGCACATGCTGGAGATACTGTGTGAGCAGCAGCAGGCGATAGTGGAGTTTCAGCTGCAGCACGCACGGGTCAGTCGCTCTGCACCAGACTTGCCCTCCAATAGATCCTAGTTAAAGGATTTAAAATGTAC